GGGCCAGAGGCAGCAAAGGAGAATGGCCTTTCGCCTGCATGCCACTGGGCTCCTGCTGGCTCACCAGAGTTGTGCTTCTGTCTGTAGCCCTCGGGCTGTAGGGGAGGCCTGAGTAATTAGGAGTGGATTTGGGGTCAAAATCTTCACTATCTGTCGGCCTTGTTTCCCCAGCACCTTAGTCATTCAGACTGTTGTAACAGAATACCACAGACTTACTGGCTCACGAAGGAACAACAGAGGTGGGTTTCTCACAGTCCTGGAGGCTGGGAAGTCCAAGATCAAGGCTGGCAGATTCGGTGGTGAGGAGCGGCTTCCTGGCTCATAGACGCCATCTTGTCTCTCTGTCCTGGTGGACAGGATGAGGGTCTCTTTGGGGCCTCTTATAAGGGCATCAATCCTATTCCTGAGGGTTCCACCCTTATGACCTAATCACCTCCCAAAGGCCCAGCTCCTGATACCGTCGCCTCGAGGTTTCAATGTGAATTGAGGGATGGGGGGACGACACAGACTTTTGGTCTGTAGCCCCTAGGTGCTGTCCTTTGTATCTGGGCAAGTACTTTGCCCAAGTGCCTCTCAAACTCTTGTAGTGAAGGACCAGCTTTTAAATCTCCAGTCTATCATGTTCTGATATTTTTCTAAAATATAATATATATGAATTACTAGAAAAATGAGATTGGGAAAACACAAAGACATACAAATCTAGATTCAACAGACAAGACATCCCTCCATCAAATTGCTGTAAAATTTCTGACTCTTGCTCTCAGTTTCTGTACATATCCCCTAGTGGACAGATGACACACAGCTCTTAGACTGGCAGCGGCCTTCAGTCCACATTTTGAGTAGGTAGGACGGCTTTATGTCTGCAGTAATCCTCATATTAGCCACTCCGTGAAGTGTGTCCTCCATTTTGTAGATCAGGACACTAGGATCAAAGTACATAAGTAAGATGCCCAAGGATATGCCCGTGCTAGAGCTGGGATTCCGGCCCAGAGTCGCAGCTCACCCACAGGGGTCTTTGTTAGAATTAGGGAAAGGTACACCTGCCCCTGAGCTGGCTGGCTTCTGCCTTCTAGTGGGATTAGACCAAGGATATCCCCTTGATGCAGTCATCATTTAGACCAAAAATTAAACACATTTCTAGTTGTGCAGCCTGGTTATATTAACCAGGATCCTGAAAGTTTTGACTGTGGCCACATGTGTGAACATTTTGGTTTTATTCTCTTCCGTGGCCTAATGTTGTACCTGATCTAAGCTGTTGTGTCATTGGTCATGTAGAATGCCAGGGAAGGGAATTTAAATGGAGACGTCATTTGCAACCACTGGAAAACTACCCTGAGCTAATAAAGTTCTGAATTTTTTAGCAAATTACATGGGAGGAAGGAAAGATTATTAATTCTCTTGTGGAATTAGATAAAAAGTTGCCAAATTTTTTTTTGATGTAATCTTTCAAATGCCTTCCTGCATATTTAACTTCCTGTAGCTATCGTTTGTTGTGACAAATACACTATTTGCTAGGCACATTGCTGAGGGTGTCACGTGCATTATCATGCTGAATGGCCACGACAGCTTTTTGAAATTATTGCTGTTGTGAGTCTTTTAGATGAGGAAGCTGAAGCTTTAGGACACTGAAGTAGCTTTTCCAGAAAGCATAGAGAGCAAGCAGGAGAACCTTAGACCCTTGTGGTCTCTGGACCCAAAGCGCTAGATTCACCTGGGAGCTTGTTAGAAACGAAAAACCTCAGCCCCACGCAGACCTAGGAATCAGTCTGCATTTTAAAAATATCCCAGATGATTTGTGTGCATATTAAACTTTGAGAAATTCTGCTCTATTTCAGAGTCCATGTTCATAATCCCTACATAGTCCTGCCTTGCAGGGAAGTGTAAGATAAAACTTTAAAGAGTATTAGCTGAATATGATGTGAATTTAGGTAGATTCAAAATAATCTTTTTTTCTGGTTATATGTTCTAGTCTTGTAGGTTTCAAATTTGTTAATTCTGCATTTTCCCCTTTTCAGCTAAGGATTCTGAGATCATCTTGTAAGAGTCAACTCTTTCTTCTCCATTGTGTCTATGGTCACTGGATTCTAAGAATGTTCTAGTTTGATAGCTTCAGGTTCTTGTTATCCAGGGTGTTAAAAAAAAAAAAAAAAGATAAATAGTGGTCAGGTTGAATGACTGTAGGGAATTGTGTTGTCAACCCTTTTAGACACCTGTTCTCTCCTGTCCATGGGCCTTCTAGAAAGTGATGGATAATTATTATTCCTACCTATAATCTTGGCATTTAAATGTAAAATACAGTTTGTAATCAAGTTTGTTTGAATTATAACAGAAAAGGCAAGTTTCAAGTATGAACTTTGAAGCAATCTGTGTGAACTTTTAAAAGATTAATCCTTAAAAATGAGCCACTCAGGGGGCTGGCCCTGTGGCCGAGTGGTTAAGTTCACGCGCTCCGCTGCAGGCGGCCCAGTGTTTCATTGTTTCGAATCCTGGGCGCAGACATGTCACTGCTCATCAAACCATGCTGAGGCAGCGTCCCACATGCCACAACTAGAAGGACCCACAACGAAGAATATACAACTGTGTACTGGGGGGGCTTTGGGGAGAAAAAGGAAAAAAATAAAATCTTCAAAAAAAAAAAATGAGCCGCTCAGGTTTAAAATGTAAGGGAGTGACATACAGATATCAGCACTTTCGGAGATGTTACTCGGACATCAGTTTGGAGAATGGACAGGAAGAAATAAGACTCATCAGTGATTCTAGAACGAGCTGGAAGTCTTTTTAAAATCTCAGGTGATAGTTCCTATGCCCAGATTTTCTGATTAGTAGGTTTGTGATAGGGCCCAAGATTTTCATTTTTAATAAGTTCCCAAGTGATGATCATGCCTGCTGGTCCAGGGAACACACTTTGAGAACCAGTGGACTAGATTTTGGGAGACTAGTTAGAAATCTTTTGCACTGATCTATGCAAGATATAGTATAGAAGTAAATGCTGGCAATAGAGCTGAGGAGGAGGTGTGGATTCCAAAGACAGAGAGGAGTTGCAATTGACAGGATTTGTTGACAGCCCAGAGTGTGCAGGTGAAGGAGAGGTGGGAGTCTAGATTCATTTCTAGATTTCTGTCTTTGATAGGTGGATGGAAAATGCTGGTGCCATTATCTCAACATAGGGAATAAAAGAGGAGAAGCTGGATAGGTTTTGAAGGCAGAGTTGGTTTTAGACACGCCTGATTTATGTGGGAATTTAATCCCACATATTACGATAGAAGGATACTGCCTAGTTGAAGATGCAGTTATTAAGAATATAGTTATAAGGGCAGGCGGGTACCTCCATAGAGGAGAAATTATAGGTCACAAAGAGAAGAGAATAAAGTGCTGAGAGCAGAACTCTGGAATATGCCAATATTTAAGGTGAAATCTGAATAATTTACCATAAAAGGCCGGAGCCCTGGAGTAGAGTTTCTATAAGGGTGTGATCAATATGTCAGCACTACAGGAAAGTCAAATGACACATGGATTACAATGTGCCCATTGCATTTAGGAAGCAGAAGGTGACAGGAAACCTTAGGAAAAGCGGTTTTGGTGGAGGAGCACGGATGGGTCTCAGATTGCATTTATCAGAAGTGAGAAACTGTTTTTTATAACAGAGTATGTGCCTTCTTCTTTTCTGATATTGTTTCTATTTTCTCACCTCTGAAGAGGATAACACTACTGATAGAAATACTTGTCCTATAAAGGTATTCCTATTCAAGTTCTAACCTATCCTTTTCTAGCTGAAATTTGATAAAATGTCTAAAGAGCATATTGAGAATCAGACTTTATATGCTGCCTTTTCTTTCGAGGTGGCCCTGCCTCCTGCGGGACTGTCACTGTCCCACAGCAGGCTTTCAGAAACGACTGGAGGTGTCTGTGGTCGGTGCTTCTGAAAGTGCTGTATTTTGTTCTCCACCCCCGTCCATCCCGGGGAACCAAGAATGCTGTTACTGCTATTTAAGAATATTGTTTTACTCTGTGACTTGGTGGGACAGCTAGGCATCATTATTTTATTAGTTTCCTGATTGACCCAACTTCAACCAAAAGGAAAGACAAGCTCAACAAATGTGATAGCTGTTGGGGCAGCTGTCACTTCTGGAAATTTGACCATAATTTTTTTTCCTTTTCCTCCAGCGTTTTTTAAGCAGATTTGTAGCAAAATGCTGAGAGTAAATAGAAATTGCTGCCCTTCACAAGATCAGGACCTGGGGTCATAGTTTCCTAAGCAGGGTTTATTGGTGGCGTGTTATTGTCTGGAAAACACAGTTAAACATGTCTGTTCAACAGCAGCATGCCCACCTCTGTTTTAGGAAACTTCTCGTGCGGTTGTGTGGACTGACTCTTCAGGACTCTCTGGAAAGCCAGAGTTGAGACTGAGCCAACACAGCCCTTTGGATTTGATGCTCGTATCCCTCTATTAATTAGCTGGAAAGTTCTCCACAAAATGAGGGCCAAATACAGAGCGAGAGGGCCTGCCAGCAAAATAGTGAGCTTTCTAAAAGACCTGAGTAAAAGCACATTTCCTATTCTGTGGTCAGACCGCTCTGATCTAACCGATTCTCTCTGTGTGTGCCTTATTTTGCCCTTCTCTTGTTGACCAGGGTTTCAAGGCTCCACATTAAAATGGGAACGGTTTTTAAATCTCAGGCTACAAATTATCAAATGTGTAATTGTTATTTTATAGGGACCAAATTAACTTCCTAAACTCTTAGATATTTTACTTGTTGGCAGATCAGGCTCTTAAAAGACTGCTAAAGAGCATGACATTGAGGCTGATGGTGAATCCTAGGGGAAAGATGGTGGGTTTTGAAGATATGTGATATAAAACCCAAAAACTCTTTCCAAATTGGTTTTGAATACTTTAAGTACTGACTTTATTTGTTCTTCATTGAGGATTAAAAATAACATTATTAAGCATATCATTGGAGCTCAAATTAACATTTTCCCCTTTTCCTTTCCTTCTTGAGCAGGTTGTCAAGTTATTAAGCAACAAAAGATCACAAGCAGTTGGGATCTTAATGTCTAGTCTTCATTTAGATATGAAAGACATACAACATGGTAAGTATAAAAATAAAAATTCAGCTTTTGAATACTAAAATTTGGCCTGGAGGATATGATGTTTGGTGGTAAAATTATGTTAATCTTAGAGTTTCTGTGTATATTGAGGTTATTATGTTTCCTGTAAGTGCTACCAAACTTTCTCCCATGGTTGTTTCTGGAAGATTTACTATTAATATGGCTTTTCTGTTATTTCTGTGTCTTGCTAAGAGCCTAATTCTCATGAGGTGTGTTTAGTCTGCATTAATAAATGGTTAATTTTTAATTCATAAGAAGTACTAATCCCACTGTGCTCTATAACTGCTTATCTGGGATCTGTCTTTCTGGATGCCACGCTCTGAGTGACTGATGAACAGTAGTGAAAGCCAGACGGTGAAGTGAGCCTCAGCCACTGAAAATACCTGGAGCTCAGGAGAGAAAAGGATGTTGAGACCTGAGTCTCAGGTGTTTGATGAGCCAGCATAAAGAAGAGGAAGTAAACCTAAAATTTTCTGGTAGATCAGCTTCAACCAGTGTAGGAGTTACAGGGAAGCCTGTTTCGAGGGTTGCTGTTTTAAGAATATTCTTGCAATTAGAGATGTCAAACAGTAGACTGGGTTGCCATATTTAGTGATGAAACGAAAACTCAGAACTGTTCAGGAGGCCGAATGATCGTTTGTCTCAGATGTCCTTAAGCATTGGACGAGTGAGGAGCCATGATTCCTGATCCTCCTCCCGTTCCAAGAGACCGTGAGATGCTGAAAGAGTCACTAAAACAGATTTATTACATAGAAATCTTTAGGGTGGAAAACTGGTCCTCCTCCTTCCAGTTATTTGGGGCAACTGTAGTGTAAACCCCTGGCTTTTCTACACATAGAGGGATTGAATTATATTTTCTAATAACCATCAAAGATAGTTTCAAAGTATTCCTGGCCACTTATATTATTGTTGGTGATCCAGACACATGGAAGCAGTAATATCATGACCTTTCGTTATTTCTTTTATGTTGTTGTTTTAATTTATATCTTTAACCAGGCTTATAAAGTATTTTCTATGATTGGAATTAGTGTGATTTTTTTTAACATTTTCTAAAGTTGCCTTAGTGTCAATATTTTAATAATTGAATTCTACCTTACATTCCTATGCCATATCCTCCTATCACGTTTATGCTGAGAGATATTGCCCACAGGTGAAGAGAGGAATTAAATTTATATTCAGAATGTCCCTTAAGCTGCCCAGAGCCTTAGAATAGATTTAAAGCAGATTGAATTAGCCAATGGAATGCCAGTTTACCTATTAAAGAAATATGGTTTCAAGTATAACACAGACCTTATAAATCATGAAAACATTTAACTGGCTTTCTAGCTTACCCCTTTATGAATGTGGATTCTATTTGTGGGGCTTAAAATATTGTGTGGAATAATTCATAAATAGCACAAGCTTGGTATGTCCTGTCAATTGATGAGTAACTGTTAATCACAATTTGAATTTTTATTAAACTGTTTTGATGTGAGGAGACTTCCTTAAGCTGAAGCGTTGGGGGTAGTAGTCACAGTACAGGACGCCACGGCTGGCGCCAAGAAGTTCTTGGCGTTTCTAAAGCTGGCAGATGGAGCCCAGTTAAGTCATAGAATGAAATCTGAAAATAATGATATGGTCCTTTCCTTCAGTCAAATATTCAACCCGAGTTGAGTTAATAATGAGAACCTTATGAACAAAGGAGTCCGCCTAACATATGTGTCTGTGGTCAAGCCAGCAAGAGTTCATTGAAAATTTGCTAGCTTAACATGCAGCGCTAACAATAACACGGCATGGACGCCAGTAGTGGAAGGGTCACATGGAATTATGCATGAACTTTATCCCATTAGGATGGGAAGCGATTGCTTGAGTCACATTGAAACCCTGCACATGGTTTTCTAAAAACAACTGCCTTAAAAGTCTGAAGAAGCAAGTGGTATGCCCTTCGGTGAATAAGGTGCTGTTCTGCCTCAGTTATGTTTCTGGAGCCACGATTTACATGGGTGAACCCCTGTGGCCTCTGGAGTAAACTTGACTTCTATCAGGATGTGCCCCCACTGACAAATCCATAGAAGCATAAACATCGTTGATTTTGCACATAGAAGTGGCCACAGAATTTAACCAGACCTCCTGTGTCATGTTAGAAGACCAAACGATCACCTTTTAGTGGTCGCATTTCTCTCTCAAGGTCACCCAGCTTGTTAATGGAACAGGCTGAACTTGTACCTGGCCCTCTTCACGACGGATCTGTTCTTTCATTCAGATGTGTCGCTTCTTCAAAATTGTGCTTTTCGGCATCTTGGAAACAAAGTATATGTAATAATGTGATAAGCAGCAGGAATTATTTTCTCTCTCTTCTTCCTTGTTAGAACTCTAGACAAGCTTAGAGCTGTGTTTGCTTGGTAAAGTTTCTATTGTAAAGTGCCGTGTTAGGGTAAGTAGTGTGGAAGGTTTGGATTGTAGGTGCCAAAGTCAGATGTGGTCTTGCCACTATATCCACTGATCCCCACATCAGGCTCAGAAGGTGAGCGAACGCAAGTTCCTTCCCACCGCAGCACATGTCGGGTCCTCAGGGTCACACATAGTCAAAGGGCAGAGAGGGGAGAAAGGATCAGCTTCTTGACTATTAGTGTGGCAAAACAAGTGTGAGGCAGTCCCAAATCAGGAGCTCTGTGTGAGAGAGAGAGAGAGAGTGTGTGTGTGTGTGTGTGTGTGTAAGGGTTACTGGAAGGCCTGAGCTGCTGGAATGCAGTTGTGAGTATGTCTGGTAACTTCTAAACTATCCTGCAGGTTATAGCAGTTTTTCACTGAGCAGGGTGAGACTCTGCTGTGCCACCTCTGAAAAACCCTCTCTGATGGTTTAGAGCAATTTAAAGTCTAGGATAAAGGTGGCTTTTAGAGAGGATTTGCCCTAGTTTGTGCTGGGGCCTGGGGCACTGTGGGTTTAGGACCTCCCTGGACCAAGCAGAAGGGTCCCTCGGGCCGTGCTGACTGCTCATCCGAGGGAGGGAGTTGGGCTCCCCGGGTGCATTGCCCTGGAGTCCCAGTTTATTGTCAGGAGGCTCTAGAGTCTGTTCTCTGGGTGGGCCCTGAGCTTTAATGTTGGTCCCTGGCGCCGTGAAGCTGTCAGCAGAAAGTTCAGATTTGCTGGGATAGGCAGAGACCCTCAGGGCAAGAGCAGTTCCTGAGCTGACTCATTTCTCTGGGTCCTCTCTCTCTTCCCTTTTGTTTAGCATGTAACTGCCTTATCAGTTCTTTGATGCCTGTAAGATATTTTACAGATATATTTTATCTGGCATTTTTAATTGTTCTCAATGGGAGGATTAATTCAAATAATCTAGCCTGTGATTCCCAGAAATTGGTATTAGGAGAGTATCCTACAGCTTTGTGGTTTAGTTTTGTGAGAACAGATTGGATTTCCTGTACAGCGTGTGGTCCATGTTTCAGAAGTCAGTGTGATGCAATGATTAGGTCCCTTTTGGTAGATAATAGTAGCTACAAAAGAATTTCAAATTTCCTAAGGCTCAGTTTTACTCCCCACAAACTCACTACTTGGTAGAACAGCCACATGGTTTATCGTCCAAACTGGGATACTTTTGAGAGTGGAAGGGCACTATTAATAGTGCCCGGGCAACAAGTGTGATGTGGAAATTTCTCAGGCACACCAGGAATCAGGTAACCCTACTCCCAGATCAGTTGGAAGCAACTTTCTGATCTAAATTCTCTCTCATATACAGATATTTATTAAACAAATACCTATTGGCCAGCAGAACAAAGCAGTTTGGAAAGCCCACCTTGTTCACCTGAGATTGTCTAGCTCTCTGTCCTTGTTGGCACTCTCACCACTGTCTCATCTGAAAGATTTGATCCAGCGGATGCAAACACGTCACAGCGGGAGGAATCTGTTACCCTGTGATCTGCACCAGGCAACCAGAAATCCTGCTCAGCCGGTGGCTGGACTTGGGACTGTAGACTGAGCCCCAGGCAGCCTCCCTGAAGCTCCAGGCTGTAGCATCCGCTAGGCCCTCACACTCTATCTGTGGAAGGGGGGCGCTGGAACATCACTAAGAGGTTTTAGCTCATCAGCGTGTCGTGTGTGTTTTCAGTTTCACCCGCGAATGCCCGTTTCAGATGTTAGTATGCTAATGAGAAAAGCCTCAGTTACTGATCTGGAGAGGGGCAGCTGAGGGGCCTGCAGTGGCCGCCTCTGGAGTGAGGCTTTTCTTCCATAGTGCTGGCCAACCATCCCTGAGCTGTGCAGCCTTATGGTTAGCACAGCTGCCCTAAAGCTGAAGCTTCACCTGCTCATCCACGCTAGCACGTTCCCTCTGTACGCGCATTTCGAAATTGATTTCAGGCATTGTAACAAGGGCTGCTAAGATATATTGAATATAGAATAAGAAATAAGTTTCAATGCCCTTCCGGGCTTGGCCATCTCAGGGTGTTAATGGTCCTGGCCTCTCCGTTCCCTTTATGTCTGTCCTGTCTAAAGCCAACTGGTATTGTGGGCTAAATTATGTCCTTGGTGAGATTTCTATCATGTTTAAACAAGACTTATCAAAATCATGTGTCTTAAATTAAATAATTATGTAAACTACCTAGTATTCCATCAGAAATATAGTGGATACTGTCAATCATGGTTATTTTTATTTTTTGATCTCTAAGCTTAATGATTGCTTTTTCAAACACTTTATTTAAGAGAATGTAGTTAAGGATACCTTAGAAGGACAGTAACGTGCTTTTCGATTTAAATCAGAAATCCCAGTGCAGTTTGTTCATTTGTGAGTCTTCGTTGGAACCTGCATCATCGTGTTGCTATTTTTTTGACTTTCTGTTGCTGACCACCCTCCCAGGGGGCCCAGCGCTGAGCAACGTTATCCTGATAACTGTCAAGGAAGCAATTACCTAAGGCCACAGGTACCTAAAAAGAGAATTCCTTTTGGCCAACAGGATGAGTATTCAAAGATCTTTCGTAATCACAACTTCTTATTAGCATCGGAAGA